ATCAGGAATCAGGCTGAATCTGTAGGGTTTGGGGAAAAGGGCTGGTGGGTGGTGAATTTGAAAGTGAGGAGCAGAGCAGGGGGTGGGAGTGGGATGGCAAGGTTGTTCCCCTCCCTCCCTGCAGTGGAGGTTAAAGAAGAGTCCCCTGGTCTCCGTGAGTCACCAGCAAAGCTGCTTTCTCCGCCTGTGGGGCTCTTTCAAAACTCTGCCCATCAGCTTTTGTCTTGGGTCTTGGAGGTTTGGAGCTCTTTGCAGCTCTGTGGAAGGGGTGGATGTTTTGGGGGCAGAGGTGTTGGACCATGTGACCTCAGGGCTAAAGCCAGTCGGCCATCAGAGCTCTTATCTAGATGGAGGAGAATTTGTGCGCAGTTGCCTCCTGGCCTTTTAAATTCCTACCTGCCTTATTTCTTGAATTAATCTAAAGATGTGCATGATGAGTGAGCACTTGTTTATTTGAGGGCAAGGTGAGGGAGGTGCCTGCTGTGTGACTACAGGGCCCCATCTCCCTCCCTCCTCCCCTGTCAAGCAGGACCTGCCTCTTTCCTCCTCCCTGGCTGTGCCCCTGGCCCTTCCTGCCTCCATCTCTGCTCATGGCTGGGACGCTGCAGCCCACTCACTTCCCCTCACCCACCCCAAATCCTCTTCCGCCAGTGCCCAGTTCTGGTGTCATCTCTTCCATGCAGCCACTTCTAATTCCCCAGAGCTGGCACTGCGCATGCCCTCTTTCACATGTGCAAAACCTGTCGCCTGGACCTCCCAGGGAGCCCTTCCACTCCTGGCTGTGAACCGGGGTTCCTTAAAGACACAGCTCACCTCTTCTGCTCTGGAGGCAGGGGCTACATGGGGCCCATTTCCAGAGCGTGGGCAGCACTGCCGAGTGGAGTCAAAAGTCCTGGGTTCAGATCCCAGTTCTGCCACCATTAGCTGTGTGATCTAGGGCACATTACCTAAATCTCTCTGCATGTTGGTTTCCTCATCTGCACAGTGGGATAATGATAGTTGTGTTGTGGCAGGGAGCTTGAGCAAATAAATGCTTGACATAGTTAAGAGCCCAGTAAGTAGAAGCTGTTTAAAGATAACGATGGTTATGAATATTGTTTATAGCTAGGAGGTGATCTGTGAGAAGGCTCTCCAGAATTTGTTTCTGAACTTTCTGCCCGGTGACCTGAGATGGCTTGTACAGATGAGGAAACTGAGGCCGGGAGAGAAAGGGCCATTTGCATGGTGTGCTGGAGCTGCTGGCCTCATCTAGGAAGCCTGGCGGGATTTCCTCTGTTTGTTACACCTCTCTTTTTCCTCTTCCCTCCTGTCATCAAGGTTAAGGTGCTAAAGTTTCATTGGCTCAGTCTCCTCCCTGGTGACCATGTTGAAGGGTGTCTAAAGCATGTGCCAGATAAATTGGGCTGGCTGGAAGGCCCCTTTGGGATGGTGGCCCTGGAGCCACCCTCATACCTAGGGACCCATACCCTGGACTGTATGGGCTGGAGTTTCAGGGGACCTCCCACCCAGCCCCCCAGTTCCCAGGGAAGGGGGAGAGGATGGTGGCAGGGAGAGGTGGCAGGGCTTGGTTTTGGGGCAGGTGACTAGGAGATTCAGACAGCAAAGGTTGGGATTAGGCTCTGCAGCCAGATGGTCTGGGTTCAAATCCATGCTGGGCAACTTCCTACTTGTGGGACCTCTGGTCAGCTGTTTAGTTCTTCGTCTGTACAAAGGGGATAATAATTATCCTCATCTCACAAGATATAAAAGGGTAATGCAGGGAAGATGCTTAACTATGAGCCCAATCCATGTTAGTTATGGTTATTATTGTGGTTGATATTATTGACTAAGGAGCTCATTTAACCCTCAATAGCAGTAGGGTTAGACACGCTGAGTATCCTCTTTCAGCAGCGTGGGGATGAAGGCATAGGGAGGTGGGAGGGTCAGCCTGAAGTTTAGACTCAGGGATCGTAGTCAGGGTCTGCTGCTGTCTGAGGGGCTGCTCTGGCCAGAGGAAGTGGCCTTGTTCTGTGAGGCACTGGGAGGTAAATCCAATGGGTAGATGGGCCGGGGGAGACTAACTTCAACTCAGTGGAATGAGGAAACTTAGACAAAATCAGAGCAGCCAAGGTGGAAGGGGTTGTGTCTGGAGGGAGTGATCGCCCTGTTTCTGGAGGTGGGAGCAGAAGCTCATGTGATTAAGATGCCGTGTAGACTCCGGCCTCATTCAGCCCTGAGGTCTGGCTCTGTACAGGAGGGCGTTGTGGAGTCTCGTCCTCCCGAGGCCGGCCACAGATCTGCTTGTCTGGGCAGGTCCTGGGTGGCGTTAGGCTTGCTCTAGTCATTGCCTAGCAGCAGCCACCTCTCGCTTACACCACCGGCCTTGCAAATGCTGCCTGCCCAGGCAGAGGCCAGGTGAGGAGAAGTGAATGTCGTCATGGCAGGGCCTTTACTCATGCTGTGCCCTCCTGCCTTGCACCTGGCAACTCCTGCTCCTGCTCTTTTTTAAATTTTTTTTGAGACAGAGTCTCACTGTGTTGCCCAGGCTAGAGTGAGTGCCGTGGCGTCAGCCTAGCTCACAGCAACCTCAAACTCCTGGGCTCAAACAATCCTTCTGCCTCAGCCTCCCGAGTAGCTGGGACTACAGGCATGAGCCACCGTGCCCGGCTTATTTTTTCTATATATATTAGTTGGCCAATTAATTTGTTTCTATTTATAGTAGAGACAGAGTCTCGCTCCTGCTCAGGCTGGTTTCGAACTGCTGACTTCGAGCGATCCTCCCGCCTCGGCCTCCCAGAGTGCTAGGATTACAGGCGTGAGCCACGGCGCCCGGCCCTGCTCCTGCTTTTATAGGAGTATAAGCATCGTCTGTTCACAGAAGCTCTACCTGCTTCACCTGCAGGCTGACTCAGTGGTTCTCAAAGTTGGGTTCCGGACCAGTAGCATCAGCATTCCCTGGGAACTAGGTCGACGTGCAAATTGGCTGTATCCTGACCTACTGAATCAGATACTCCGGGAGGTGGGATTCAGCAATCTGTTTTAAGAAGCCAGGTGATTCTGATGCTTGCTGAAATTTGAGAAACACTGGGTTGGGGCATAAAAAAAATCACTGCATCTTTCCCTAGACTCTCCTGTTTTCAGCATATTCAGACACCCAGCAGATGCGGGGGACACAGAGGAAAGCCTAGTTTCTCTCTACCCTGTCTTCAAGGAGCCACCATCTTGTAAGAGCCTCGGGAAACGATCTTGTGACACAGTGATGGCTACGACAGAGCCCCACCGTGATTTCAGGAGATGTTGCTGGGGCAACTTGAGTAGGGCAGGTTTGGGGACCTAAAGAGTGAGGGAAGTTTTGTAGGTGGCAGGAAGGGGTTCTGGGAACACACCAGCTCTGCTCTGGGGCTGGTGTTGGGAGGGGGCCAGGCAGAGAGTGAGGGCCCTGCCTTAGAGAACCGTGTGCTGGGCTGTGTGTGCCAGTGCACGCATGTGCGCGTCCAGTGGCCAGGTGGGGTCTGAGAGGGTTGAGGGGCCTTAGCTATCCCCAGTCCAGTGGGTTTAAGCATCTAAATAATATATATATATATATATATATATATATATATATATATATATATATATATTTTGAGACAGAGTCTTACTCTGTTTCCTAGGCTAGAGTGCCGTGGCATCAGCCTAGCTCATAGCAACCTCAAACTCCTAGGCTTAAGCAATCCTCCTGCCTCAGCCTCCCAAGTAGCTGGGACTACAGGCATGCACCACCATACCTGGCTAATTTTTTTTCTATATATTTTTAGTTGTCCAGCCAATTTTCTATTTTTTTAGTACAGATGGGGTCTTGCTCTTGCTCAGGCTGGTCTAGAACTCCTGAGCTCAAACGATCCATCTGCCTCAGCCTCCCAGAGTGCTGGAATTACAGGTGTGAGCCACCGCGCCCAGCCGCATATAAATAATTTTGATAATGAAGATTATACTCACTGCTCACATTTATTGACAGCGTATAAATGCTTACTAGGCCCTTCCATACCACCTTGTGTGGAGTAAACTCAGAGCAATCACATAAGGTAGGCACTGTTATTGTGCCCATTTGATAGATGAAATACCAAGGCCAGACAGCTATATGGAGGTAGATCTAGGAATTCCATAGGGGTACTTAGAAACATGCTCTCATTGGGAGAAGGGCAAAGGGGGATTGTCATGGAGGGCTTGTGTAGCAGGCACAACTTAGATTGGCTTTCTAGAGATGTCCCCAAACATAGTCTATCAAATGCATGAATTAGGCTTTGGGGGAGGGCTGATGGGATTGTTTTGGGGTGGTTCGGGCTCCAGCCTCCAAGTTAGTGCCTCCACTGCAGGCATTGTTATTCTGTTTTGTGGATGAGCCATACGAGGCTCAAAGAGATTCAGGCCGGACACTGTGCCTGTAATCCTAGTACTTTGGGAGGCCAAGGCAGGAGGATCACTTGAGATCAGGAGTTCGAGACCAGCCTGAGCAAGAGCGAGATCCTGTCTTTACTGAAAATAGAAAAATTAGCTGGGCATGGTGGCACATGCATTTAGTCCCAGCTACTTGGGAGGCTGAGGCAGGAGGATCGCCCGAGCCCAGGAGTTTGAGGTTGCTGTGAGCTAGGCTGATGCCATGGCACTCGCTGGGGGAAAAGAGTGAGATTCCATCAAAAAAAAAAAAAAGAGATTCAATGGTGAGTTCAAGGTCCCGTAGCTAGGGCGAGAGATCAAATCAGAAAAGTGAATCTCCTTTGGTTCTATCAGGAAGGGGTGTGAGGTTCAAGATCAGAGCCTGAAGTCCACTCTGCTGTTCTTTCCTGCCCAAGGGTCCCCAGGCTACTGCCTAGGAGGCCAAGGGCCTCCCTGACACAATGCAGGAACCTCTGCATTTCTCAGTTAGGGCACTGAGGCCCAGAGAGGGGCAGGGACACGCCCCTGGCCACAGCGAGTCAGAGTTACACTGAGCCCAGAGCCCAGAATCGTCTCTGTTCTGACCCAGGGTAGGGTTTGTTTCCCAAAAAGCGATTCTGCCCCACCCCATCTTTGGCAGGCTGGGTGGCCAAGGCCCTCAGGGTGGCCCAGAGCCATTCTGGGGGCAGAGATGGGGGTGCCCTGGGCGAAGGCTGCCAAGAAGGGGTGGGGCAGCTTCAAGAGGAAGAACACCAAGAAGCCCGGACCCCAGGCGGAAACCAAATGTATTTTCTAGGTCCTGAGAGGATATTTGGAACAATGGAAGTGGGATGGGGGAAGTTGGACTATACAAAGGGCTTCTTGACATCCTTAAACAACGAAAAAAAGTAGAGGCTTTAGGTTTGACTTTTGTTTCTCTGAAGGATGTTTATGTAACTTCCTGAAAGCAGGGTCCCAGAGCTCTGTGCAGTTTGTCGGGGGCGTCTATGGACTGGGGCTGTGGCGCTGGGAAGGACTGAGCGGGTGGCCTCCCATTGTACGGTTGGTGAAGTGGAAGCTTCGAGGTGAGAGGGCCTGTTTGGGCTCACACAGTGAGGCTTGCCAGGGGGCTGTTCAACTTGACTGAGTCCCCCCAGGGCCCCCGCTGGCATGGAGGCTGGGCAGGGGCTGCGGTGGTCCCCTTTGGAAACGCATGCAGCTGCTGGGGTTGGGGTAAGGCTGGGTCTGGTCTCCAGCGAGGTGGGCCCCCTGGTGGGGAAGAGCCCGAGCTGGTGCGCTTGGTGATGCCACCCCCATCCAGATGCCGGGCCCAGCTGTGCTCGTCTGCCTAGCAGCTGGGAGCGGTGAGTCACACCCAGTGGGTACAGAGGCGCAGGCCATTGTGTGTCGTGATTCATTCTGTTCTCCCAGCCCTGAAGGGATGACTAGGCCCTGAGCCTCGATTCATGCCCACGCCCGTGGATGCAGGCTGCTGTGGGTTTGGGCTCCGAGTTTGCAGAAATGAGGGGCCCACAGGGCCCGGGAGAGTCTTTTCCCTCTACCGCCGCCTGTCTCTTGAGTATCCCGTGATCTTGACCTGTTCTTTCCCACCAGTGCAGAGGTCTGTGGGCCCGAAGTCAGGTGCAACATTTAGTAGGCATTTCTGTGCTTGCCTTTTCCGAAGACAGAGTCTGTGGGTTCCATCAAGTTGTCAGAAGCCCGGGTGTCCCTGGGAGTGCTGACGGGGGCTGCAGGCTTGAGAGGCTGTGGCAGCGAGGTGCAAGCAGAAAGTAGCCTGCTGGCAGTGTGGCATCGAGGTTTGGGGTGTGGTCTCGGAGACCCGCTGTTGGCTTCTAAGCCAGCTCCTCCACTTGCCTTGGGTAAGTTACTTTGCCTGTGCTTCCATGTCCTCATCTGTAAAATGGCAATAATCATGTTTAGCTCATGGGGTTACAGTTAGGCTTTTAGATAAGATAATGTGTGTAAAGGACTTATCTCAGTGCCTGGTACAAAGTAATCACGTGGTAAGAGCTTTCTATTATTATTACTTCTAGCTCAGCTGCTCATTTGCTGTGTGGTCCTGTAAATAAATGCCTTATCGTGGGGTCTTAGTCCCCACCCTGGCTCTGCACTCTGTCTTGGGCTTTCCAGGAGCTGCAGGGCAAGGTTGGAGAGCGGGGAGGGGCAGGGGACGGGCAGGGGACGGAGGAGAATCCTTTCTGCATTCTGGGCCTCCCCAGCCCAGGCCCTCCCTGGCTTTGTCCCGAGGCAGGGTTATGTAACCAGCCAGCCTGGCCAGGCAGGATTCGCAGCCTCCTCTGTCCCTCCACTGGCTCTTGCCCTCCCTCCCGGCCCCCCGTGGAGCTGTTGTTAGCTGACCCATTCCTCAAGCTCCAGGGATGAAACCGGACCCCAGCTATTCTGCCACCGAGTCAATTTAGTCCTGAGATTTGCTGGGCTGGCAGCCCCTCCTTGTGCCACCTGGAAACAGAACAGAGCTGATGCCTTTGTGCCTCCTTGTTTTGGGGAAAGGCAGGCCATCTAGAAGGCTTGGGTTCTTGGTCCAGTCTGCCAGGTGGTAGGGCCAGGAGGCTCCCGCCATGGCCCCTGTGGCCGCAGTGGTACAGCCCACTCCCACCCCTGCTTGCAGCCCAGCACCAGTGCCTCCTCTCCCAGGAAGCCCTCCCTGATGCCTCAGCTGCAGGGAAGCTGGCCTCCACTGAGCTCCACAGTGTGTACTCTGATCCTTTTAAGAAAACAGAGGCCACAAACTGGCAGGCCACTTCTGCCCTATGGGCAGATTTTGTTTGGCCCATGCCAAATATCGAGCTGGTTGCCAATGGGAGGTTTTACATAAAAGTCCAGACTTCTGGCTTTACTTCAAAAATTGGAAGATAGGAAAACCTTGAGCCTATACTCTTCAGTGGCCACTGCTGGAGACGAGGCACTTAAGCTCCACTCTGCCCTAGCCCCAGCCCTGGCCCCAGCCAGCCACTTCATACACTTCCATGATCTTTCAGGTCCCGAGAGGCATCTGAGTTTGCAGCCCTGTGCTTAAGGTGTGGACAACTTTCTCTTCTGTGTTGTTCCTTTGTGGGCTCTTTGAGGGCAGTGGGGGCCGGAGGCTGACTCACTTATGTGTACCTGGAAGCATTGTGCATAGGCTCAGGGCCGGGTACTGAACAGGAGCATAATAAGTGCTTCCTGTGTGAAGGAAGGCATGGCAGTGCTCTGTCCTGCCAGCCGTGAGGGTTCCATTTACTAGAGGTGTCTGGATCAGCCTGCCCTGTGGCCCTGGCATCCTCCCCGCAGATAAGCTCTGGCTGCTTAGCCACTGACCCAGGCAGCTTCTTAAGCTGCGGATAAACAGTGCCTGAAAGTTGTCCCCGCGCTGCAGTATGACAGGAGAGGAGCATTTCACCTGCACCTGTCCCCAGGTTTCCCTCTCACAGGGGGCTTGGAGGAGTTTGGGGAGGGGGAGGACCGGGCTCGGCAGCCTTCAGAGACTGTCAGGTCCAGACCTGTGTGTCCTGGGGGTTGTGGGTCAGTTCAGGTGTCGCTGGTCTGGGCTTCCTGACCGTGGGCCTTTCTCAGCTTGCTTCTCCTCCTAGAGCATGTTACTTTATCCACCAGCTCCTTCGTCCGGCTGTCTGACCCTTCAAGGTTTGTTTGGCTCTTTTAACTGAAATCGTAACTGTCCCCCAAGGCCTAAGATGTTTCTCCTAGAGATCTTAGCTGAGAGGTTGCAGTGGTTCTGGGTACAAGAAGAGCCTGGGAAGCGTGCAAAAAACGCACACAGATTTCTGTCCCGTTCCCCCCTCGCAGCTCCCCATTCCTTCAGCCTAGGGTGAGCCTCCGCTCCCCAGAAGATTCAGAATCAGGGGGCCAGTAGACCGAGCCTGAGGACCCTGTTGTTGTGCACAGAGGCCAGGTGTGACATCAGCATGTCCCTTTCTGTCTCTGGGCTTCCTTTCGCCCTCTGCGCTAACATGCTGGCTCCTCCTGGTTGTTGGGCTGAGGGCCTTGTGCGCCATCCTTGGGGAGGATAACAGAAGGGCCCAGGGCAGGTGCCGGTGTCTGGGTGCGGTGAGTGCTCCCAGCCCCGGCCCCCACCCGGCCAGGCCCAGAGGAGTTTCACGTTCACACTGGGTAACAGCTTGGGAGAGGAGTGCTCTGATCCAGGGGACAGGGCAGGCTGGACGCCCGGGTCGAAGTGGGCAGGGGCTGTGCCAGGTATCAGGCCTTGCCTGGGTGGCTCAGTGACTTGGGTGGCTCAGTGACCTGGGTGGCTCAGTGACCTGGGTGGCTCAGTGACCTGGCTACAGGCTGAGGGGCTCCCTGCTGTGTGGTCCTGTGGCCGGTAGGCTGAGACATCAAGGGTGGGCCCGAACAAGCTGTTTACAGCTGGGTAAACTGAGGTACATAGAGGGAGGAGACCCTCCTGATGTCACACATGAGCATGTGGAAAGTCGTGCTGGGACCCCAGGTCTTCCGACACCAGGCCAGGCCATGCTCCTCTGGCCCCACCTCCCTCCGCAGGGCCAGCTGCAGACAGTCATCTGATTGTCTGTGACCACCTGGTTAGAGCTGGAAGAGTGAACCATGGTCACAGCCACCCTAGAGGCACGAAACCGGTTGGGTGTGCAAATTACCACTCAGACATCCTCCATCTCTTTTTTTTTTTTTTTTTTTTGAGACAGAGTCTCGCTTTGTTGTCCAGGCTAGAGTGAGTGCCGTGGCGTCAGCCTAGCTCACAGCAACCTCACACTCCTGGGCTCCAGCGATCCTTCTGCCTCAGCCTCCCGAGTAGCTGGGACTACAGGCATGCGCCACCATGCACGGCTAATTTTTTATATGCATATCAGTTGGCCAATTAATTTCTTTCTATTTATAGTAGAGACGGGGGTCTCGCTCAGGCTCAGGCTGGTTTTGAACTCCTGACCTTGAGCCTCGGCCTCCCAGAGAGCTAGGATTACAGGCGTGAGCCACCGCGCCCGGCCTCTTTTTTTGTTTTTCCTTAAACTGTCTCTAATGGGCCCGCTGCCCCTGTGCCCGCTTCCGCCTGGCACTGGGCTTCATGCTCTTTATTCTAAGAACAAAGCTTCCTTCTGATGGCCGCCCTGCTGACCACAGGACAAGGGCAGGCGTGGCTCGGCCTCCCCCCTCTGCGTCCTCTTGCTGGGAGCACAGGGCAGGCAGCCACGAGCAGATGCCAGGCCCCGGCCACTGGTGGGCTGTCAGGGAGCGTGGTGGCAGCCCAGTTCATGTTCCCTCTAGTGGCCCAGGTGCCAGCACCCAGAAGTTCTCTTCCCATGGCCAAAAGGATGGGCAAAGGCCCCAGACAGGGACAAATGTAGAGTCCTGTCCATTGGTCCCAACAGTATTTGTCCCAGCACAGGACTGGGGACTTGGCCGGGAGCTGGTCATGTGAGACCTCCGGATTCAGCGGGTGCAGGTGGCGTATCACACCCGCCCCCAGCTAACCCTGATCTCCGGAGGCCAAAGGTGTGTTCGGATGAGGGAAGGAATAGTCCCTCATTCCGCAGTCTTATTAAACATCACTCTGGTCCCCGCCCTTCTCTAGGCACTAGGACACGGTGGTGAGCGAAACAGACCAAGTCCCTGTTGGACGTGGGGCTGACATGCGAGTGGTGGGACGGGACCAGCAGACCCGCAGACATGTCGGTTCCTCAGGTGCCCAGACGTGCCTGGAAGAAACATAAAGCTGGATGGGGGGAGTAGCAAGTGTGATTTGAGGGAGTGGCCCTGCCACGGCAGGTGGTCAGGGAAGGTCCCTGGTGAGTAGGGGGGGGGATCTGGGAAGAGCTTCTAGGCAGAGGGCGCAGCCAGCAGAGGCGTCCCGGCAGGAGGGTGTGGGCGGGGCGTGAGGAATAGCCAGGAGGCCGGGGTGGCTGGGTGGAAGGAGTAAGTCACTGTGGTCAGAGATGGGGTCAGAGATGGGGCCGAGGGCTCAGGGCAGCAGATCGGGCTAGGCTTCCTGGCTTACCCAGAGGACTCTGTTTTTTAAGTCTGAGTGATAGGGAAGCTGTGGGGGGCTTGGGTCTGAGGACTGACATACATTTTA